GGCATGCGTGCCATCGCCCCAGCCAGGCCCAGACCATCATTAAAGTGTCGAATTCTCTGCCAAATAATTTTAAGTAAATGAAAGCATTTGGGATTGCTTTCCTTACTTTGTTTGGATCATCTTAAGTTAATGTATGAGTTGTTTTTTCTAAAGTAAAACCTCAGTATTCAGGTTAAATTGCCGTGTTGGCACTTTGCGATAAATAAGTGGGTTTTGGGTCGCAGTTTGGGCACTCGGTCTCTAAAAGGTTCTCCATCACTGCTCTAGGCAGATCCTGCATGGAGCAGGGGGTTGGACTAGATGGCCTGTATAGGCCCCTTCCAACTCTGTGGTTCTATGATCTACACATGACAGATAGAATTCTGAGGTAACAGAGAAGATTGTACTACTTTGGACTGCAGATGGAGAATAAAGTTTATGCGTGTAAACTTTCCTGCAAATAAAATAATAGAGTGCTCTGACCTGGATAGCCCAGGCTAGCCCAGTCTTGTCAGATCTTGAAAGTTAAGCAGGGTTGGCCCAGGCAAGTATTTGGATGGGAGACCTTCAGCTCTATCTGATGTTGGGTGGTCAGTCGGACTCCGACCCAGAAGACCTTCACTGGGCGTTGCAGGCTGTATCTGGATGGCTCAGGCTGAGTCGGCTGAAGCTGAACCCGGCGAAGACGGAGGTCCATAGTAGAGCAGCAGGGTATGGAACGCTGACGTGATAGCTTTTTATTTGCAGGCAGCTTTTTACATGGGGGAATATTCAGAACTGGTGTTCTCCACATGCAGCCTTAAAGGTCAGATCCACTCTGCTACTTACATATTCTGTTGTCTCATTCTGCCACCTATGTAGCCAAGGCTCAAGAAGAACATAAGTAGGGTTGTGCTGCTAGAGGTGAGCTATGCATTGAATTGCCAGCATTTGAACTGAATGTTTGCATCTGGATAATTGCTGGTGTGGAATCCACAGCAGGTCTAAGAGTGCAACCAGAGCACAGCCAAGCAGTTTCTAGCAGGTCCTGGGCTGAAGCTCGGTGGTTTTTAGTAGGGTTGGAGTCCAGTCAAAAGTTGCTTATTCACCTAAAATATACAGCCTAAAAATGGCTTTGGGGAAGAAAAAAGCCTTGCCCTTTGATTTCTGCAGCTGGCCTGCTGAAAACACACACACACACACACACACACACAGCCACTCCCCCCCCCTCCTGACTGTTAGCAACTCTACAGCAGCTAAAGGCTCATTCTCAGTGATTCCTGTTGAATTCTCTATGACACAGTAAAAGAACTTCAGTGTGTGATATAGCTAAGGGAGAGCAATGTGCACCTCAATGCAGACAGTAAGGGAGAGGTGTATACAGACCTCTCCCTACAGATACATTTTATTGTAGTGCCTCAGGAGTCACTAGCTAAAATTTGAAATCCACAGCCAGCATAATTCTGATAGTTTTGCATGAATGCCATTGGCACCTATTGCTCTTGACACCAACAGTAAAGGGATACAATTCTCTCTTCCTCGTGGTGTATACACAGATTTGTTACTGTTTGTAAAAGTATATTGTTTTTAGTCAGTAAAATATGAGAGCCCCTGGGAAAAAATCAAAACCATCTTTCCAAGAAATCTATTCTTATTTTTTTATAGTAGAGCAGCAGGGTATGGAACGCTGACGTGATAGTTGGATGTACGCCCCCCCCCCCCGCTTTATAATGCACATATCTGATTGCTTTGTTCAAGTGTTCTGGACCCCTGATGCAAATTTATTTCCACCTCATCAAATCCCTCTTCCTTTCCCCCAGTACTTTTTATACAGTTATCACTTTCCTGTTTCCTTATTGGAGGGGTGCTGAGTATCCCTGTAGTGCAAAGGGAGAAGCTGCTGTTGCTCTGCAAAGAGGTCATCCATACACATTCTTAGACTTCTGAGTCATCTCCTTTGCTCTCTTGTTGCAGCTTATTGTCTGTGGGGTATGTGTTGATACCTTCCTTTTTAAAAAGCCGTTATTTACCTTTGAATTATGAATGTGCATTTTTGGTTTAGTTCCAAGTGTGTTTTCATCAAATGGAAGAAAAGTGGTCTTCCACAGGAACTCATGGTGGTGG